TGTGTAACCAATGTGATTCTGCAATTTGTATACGGGGTAAAAATGGGAGTTCATAACCCACTTGAATCAAATGTATGAAATATGATATGTCAAGAGCTTTGTAATGTTTTGAACAACCAATAAAAAAAAAAAAAAGCATGTCTATGATGTGAAGCAAGAGACGAAGGAAGAGGGGTTTAGTCCCCCCCACACACATTGATTTCTATGTACAACTTTTCTTCTAGTCTCCCAGGAAAGAGACCTTGGGGTAGTGTTTGACTTTTCCTCTCCTTCACTGTAGTATACTCTAATAATCACAATTTAGCATGTAGACAGATTAATTGTGCCATTTGTACTTGTTAAAACTTAAAATTTTCCTTTAACAAGTATACTCATCTAAAAATTCAAATAGTGCTGCTTAATTTGTGACAAAAATAGTCTTTGCCCACACTACACATTCCCATTCCCAATTCCTTCCACCACATTTATCTCTTAGCTACTTACTTGGAATTTACTCTGATTTTGAAAAGATCTTTCTTATAAGGCCTTTATTTCCAATGTGTGGACTCTGGATCCTAGCTCTAGCACCCTCACTTCCTGAATGAAAACCCAAGACTACACAGAGTTAGGGTCACCCTCTTTCTTAAAAATGGCTGTGGCCGTACTTTGTCCATTAATGCACCATTCAGTATCTACTTTATCACGTGATGATCATGCACAGCTGAGGCACAGGCTGCAGTTACATCTCCACTTTTGCTGGTTTCAGTTTTTGCCTAGCTTTTTGCTCATCAGCTTTCTTGTATGGCTTTTACTGATCATCACCAAACTCTGAAGATCTTATTTAAACCTCAAGCACATGAGGTGCTTCACAGCTTCACTCTTTGCTGCAGATGTTTCTTCTGGAGGCCTACACTCTCCAAGCTTTTGTCCTGGGTTTCCCCTTCTCTTCTGTTTTATAGGCCCTCAATACTCTTCTTCTTGACTTAGAATATCCTCCACCAGCTTTCTGAGTTATGGCATCTGATAGACAACGTTTTTGAGCTTGCATACTTTAAAGTATCTTTATTCTGCAGAGAATTTAAGATTTTAATGGATTATTTTCTTCAGAATCTTAAAGTTAATGGTCTAGCATAGTTTGGCTTTCTGGGATTTTTCTTTAKTTGGTACTGGGGATTGAACCCAGGGGCCTTTTATCACTGAACTACATCCCCAGACCTTTTTGTTTTTTGAGACAGGGTCTTCTAAGTTGCCCAGGCTGGTTTGGAACTTGAGATCTCATGCCTCATCCTCCTAAATAGCTGGGATTAGAGGTATGCACTATAGTGGGATTCTATAAAGAATTTCCATGCCATTGTAATTTTTTTTTTTAAAAGAGAGTGAGAGAGGAGAGAGAGACAGAGAGAGAGAGAGAGAGAGAGAGAGCGAGCGAGAGAGAACTTTTAATAATTTTTTAATATTTATTTTTTAGTTCTCGGCGGACACAACATCTTTGTTGGTATGTGGTGCTGAGGATCGAACCCGGGCCGCACGCATGCCAGACGAGCGTGCTACCGCTTGAACCACATCCCCAGCCCTCATTGTAATTTTGTATGCCTTAAATGTGAGCTTTTTTATTTCCCCTTCCAGAAGCTTTAATAAATTTTCTCTGATGTTTTGAAATTTTGTAATGATATACCTTGGTGTGGATCCTTTCGAAGTAAGTTTTGTGTTGGGTCCTTGGTGGTTCCTTTCCATGAGAAAATGTCTTCAAGATCTGGAAAGTTTTCTTGCGCTATTTCTTCATTTCCTTCTCATAATTTTCTCTATTCTCCTTTCATGTAATTCCTATTTTTCATGTCAGACCCCTTGAATTTATCTTCTAGTCTTCTTGTGCTCTTTCTCCATCATCTAAGAGTGTTGTTGAATCTGTCTTCTATTAATTCACTGCTTCTTTAATTTTGGGGAGGTCTTTCTTGTTCTCTAGATGGACTTCTCTTTCATTTGTAATATTATCTTCAGAGACTGCCAACTATAAAGCATTTTATAACATTTTTCCCCTTGCATTTTTTTTTATTTTAGGTTTTTCTCTTCCTCCAGTGATTGTTGATCCTTGTTATTTATGTACATTCAGGAGTAGGCAATGTTCTACTCTAAGTGGTACCTGAGAATTATAATATAGTGGGCCTTGCCTTCTGGTCATCCCTGACACCCTGACACCGCTGAATGAGCCTCCTGTTTCTTGGGAGGATGGTTGTCCTGGTTGCTGGGCCATAGCACTTGGTTTTTACCCTTCTCTCCTAGGTTCGCACCTTCTGCCTTAGGTCATTCCTAACCCACTTATTCTTTTACCATCTCCTTGTAGTGTTTCTCATTCCCTCCTGGTCCACTGAGGCTGCTAATGCAAAGTCTACCACGCGGCCTGCGCAGTGGTTTCATTAATGAGGTTCTAGGCATAAAGTTAGTTAGACGAGATCGAAATAAAAACACAAGACTCAATTACCTTAATTCTATTGCTAGGTCCGAGACGGCTCCCCTCTCTGGTTCGCTCCTCTAGCCGCCCAGCAGGGCAGCAAGGATTACTCAGGGCTAGCAGGAGAGAGAGCACGCCGGGGAGTAGCCTTTTATTAGGGAACCAGAGATTCAGGGGAGAAT